TCTCTCTCGCTCCTGCGCTCTCTCTCTGTCTTTCCCCTATACTATATCTTCGGTTTGGATTTTTGGGTCGGCGGGGGATATATTCTTGAGTTCTATTTTTTCGTATTCCTCGTTGTTTTCATAACTTTCGTGTTTTTCTCATGTCGTAATAAATTCATTTTCTATTTTCGATACGTACATACTGATATATATGTATGGTCGTCGTATTCAAATCGCATCTCTATATATTTTTTTTTTCCCAGCCTTTGCACCTTTGTGTCTTCCATTTCTATTTTTGGTCATATTTCTCATTGCGCTCTCAGTACTCTCCCGATCAAGAGATCTGCCCACGCCTACGCCCCTTGTAATGGGCATCAATTTAACTAATTGTTTATTTACAAAAATACAATAAGTCGGCAGGGACGTGGTCCAGGGGGGGTTAAGCGGGATAGGGCTACCAGCTTTGCAGGGTTCCCATTTAAATTAGGTTCCGTGGAGTCTATTTTTGGCCTGCAACTAAGTGGGGCATGTTTACGTTTTATGGCACAATCGCAGGCCGGTGAGGCCAATCGTTCCTAGTCGCACATTTCACCCGACTTTTTCTATATCCACACAAGTATCTATAAAAATATATATGTATTTGGTTGCTATAGAATGCCTTTGCTACATGGAAAAACAAATGGATTTCGATGTCGCTAAATTCTAGCTGGCCGAGGCCAAATGTACGAGAATATGTATACGCTCTTCCTTCATATAATTATATCTTTATCTTTACCCACAATGTAGCCCTGCAAAAGGGGCTTCATATTAGCCAGAAGAATGACTAATCCCTGGATATTTAAAATTGCCAAATTTCTTATTATGATTGTGTGAGTCTAGCCAGAGCAGGATGAACGGGTATTTGCCGAATATTTTTAGTCTGGACTATATTTAGCTCAGGTGACAACAGGCATAGCATTCCTCCAGGGCTGCCATTTTAAAAATTAGGGCATATACATATATTATGATTGATAACCGGATGCTTAATTTCTAATCTAATTAAAAATTTGTTATTTGTAAAATTACCATAAAACCCTTCAATATTCACAATCAACTTATTATTTATTTTCAAAATTTAAACTAAAAATTCTATTATTCTTTGAGATCGTATTTCACCTGTGACGACAATAAATCAATTTATATTAAACGTCAGTCCCTAATTTTATATATTTCAAATCGACACTAAGAGAAAAAAGAAATATTCTAACATTCGACGTATACTAAAAGATTTTGTAAGGGAACTTTTTATTTATATGTACATCAAATTTAACCAATTTTTTTTAAATCGAAAAAAAATATGATTTAGTAATTATATGCTTATGTATCCTATAGATCCTATAGTCCTATAAAAATTAAGCCAAGCAACAAAATTATATACATAAATATGTTTGTGTTAAGTACGAATAATTTAATATTTTTATTAAAATGATGTACTTTTAATACAATAAATAAATAAATAAATAAATGGATATTATTTAGATTAATATTTTTTACTAAATTACCAACAAAGCGAAAAAAAAAAAAAATTATTTGTGTGAAATTTGTTAAAAATTTTTGTTTTTTATTACTTAAACTTCCAATAATTTACATTTCATGTTCTCATTAAAATAAACCACTTATACAATTTATTTTAAAATTGTTAGTTATAAAATACAAGTTTAAACAGTTTATGACATTTTTTTGTGTTATCCAAGTACAACACCTTACTTTAAATACAACTTTTTCAATAGAGTCTTGTTGATATTGATTATCTATTAAAAATACTATTTAATACTATTGTAGAAATTTTAAAAACATTATCTATATTTATTTTTTTTATTTTAGCGAAATCTGAAAGTTGTTTTTCATATTAAATTAAATTTCTTATTTTTTTGTATGCTTACAAAGAATTTGGCCCTTGTCTAATTTAAATTATCATCCCCGTTAAAAATTGTGTAAAATTATTTTAAAATTACTATTGCATTATATTGTTATTAATTATTTAGGTTGTTTAATGATATACCAAAGTATTAGCATTCCTTAATTTGAATATATATTTTTGTATGAACTTTTTTATAAAAAAACTTAAGTTAGTCATAAAAAAATTATAAAAATAATAATAATAATTAACGTTTTTCTTATTTCTGACAATATTATATTTTAAAAAATTTTAGTTTAATATGTTGTTAATTTTTTTGTTATTTAATGCCGGTTTTAGTGGTTAATTTTATTAAATATGATCCTAACCCTACAAATATTACCACAAAGATATAAACTATTTCCATTAGGGGGCTAATATTTTGTTTAAATCAAATTTTAAAAATAAAAAATATCATAACTAAGCCAAAACTATAATTGTAACCAATTAGAAATACTGTGTTAATTTTTAAAATAATATTATATAGGTTCGGAAATGACTGGAAAGGCACGAATTTTTTTATTTTAAAATATTAATGCTGAAAGAGTATTGGCCTTTCTATGGTATAAATATTACTCGCATACACTTTTAAATTATATTCTTAACGAGCCTTTGAGTCTCGTTTTCACTCTCGGCTACAACAAATTACAGCTCAGCTGTTAATTCAGAGTTAATTAAAAGTAGATCAATGTCAAACCATGATTGTCTCTCCAGTAACCACCATTGGCACCATTCGAAGGGACCCTCAGGGCAGTGGCAGTCAAATGGCAAAGCCAAACTTTGCCTCCTGCCCGTTGGACTAACGAAAATAAAGCCAATTGCAAATAGATTATATAAATGGGTAAATCAAAATTTAATAAAAGCCAGCGCAGTGTGCACTCGCTGGAGCGAAGGAAAATAGCATTGAAGGTGCGGATGTCACCAGTAGTGGCGGGTCCAAGGAATTTTAATAATGACCACGTATCCTGGCAGCGATGCCGCCTTGTTGTTTTAGTGCACGTGCGCCAATTGCCAGCACTAAAGGGATTCATTTGTGAATTACCCAATGCGAAAATGTGCTGCTCCCAAAATTCACCCCCACCAGGCCCACACCAAGGACCTAAACAAACACCGAGCCGAGGTCGAGGCCGAGAATCAACGAAAACAAATTGCAATTGAGCAGGCTAAGGATGGGTGACAAAAAGTGGCCACCACATCACACAGGCGCAGGACGAGGACGAGGATGTGGATGAGGCTTTGGCTTCACATTCTGATTCAGATTCAGGAGGGATACTGTTGCGATGCGCATTTGACAGCTCAAGCGGAATGCACACAGACGATGGCGATGAAAGGCGAGGATGGAGCCGGGGTTCCGCCCAGAGCCAAGGCAACAAGAGCCGGTACACAGCCGTGGATGAGGGATTTCGGATTTCGGATTGCTGGGAAAATGCTGGCCCTCGGGCCACCCCATTTTTGCACGTTTAAAATGCCCCGGATTCCCATGAATTTGAGCGGAATTTTTATTAAGTTGCCAATTTGGCAATTGACAGAGTTGATCAAAGTGGCTTGGGCGTTGGCGGGGGTGGAGGAGCTCTATATTATATTCCCCGATTCTCTGTGTGAATTAATTTCAAATTAGTTTGCCACATGCATTTTGGGATTTATTGGATTTTCGCCGGCGCACACAAACACGGAGGGAAAACAAAGGGGCAGCAGAGAAAGGGTTGGCCACAATCCCTTAATAGGCCTAATCACAATCGATGACCATTGATTTGTTTAGCGCATTAACAGCTCCAGCTCTGACCAACGTCCAGCAGCTGCCACAAACTCATCTGCCAACCCGACCGACACTTTGCCCGGCCACTTGGCGATCCCTCCCAGTCCCAGTCTCAGGTTCAGTTGCAGTTCGGCCTGAAATCAGGTCAGGCGAACGCATATAAACACACAATTTCGATTCGGATTGTGATTTCTGGAATGCATTAATTTGTGTTAATGGCCAGGGAAAAGTTTCCCCGATTGTTAGGGTTTGGAGTGGTGCAGGCGAGGTTTATTTTTAGTATCTCCGCGATGGATACACAGAGGCTGCCACTCTGGAGATGGTAGCATGGAATTTTCCATGCGCTTTGGCCGAATCCTATCGAATTTCAGCGGAGGCATTTACCCAGACACTATCGAACCCATAATTTAATATTTAGTCATTCACGTGCTGCCTGCAATCGGCCGGTCGTCGCCAAAGTCAGACAAGTGGCCATTTCTATATGCAAGACCCAAAAAAATGTCACATATATATCGAATCCGCAAATATCTATCCTCTGGCCAGACCGAAATACTTTCGGATATGCGCTCCATCGAGTATTGTTTCTCATATCTATAGGTCGCTCTATATATCTGCTTAGTCTGAGTCCGCCGCACTGTACGCCGAACCGCCTCCAGGGCGCACAGAACAACCGTTCAAGAACATCGAGATGGGGCGGTTTCATGCTGCCGAATTCAGAGCAATATCGCTCCTTCCAAAGAGTGTTCATGGGGGATTCGGGTGGACCCAAAAATCACTTAGACATGAATCTTGTAGTGCCTAAAAGAGGAGTTTGAAATGGGTTTAATAGTAAGCAATTTATGGGTTTGTGCAAAAATCATTACCCATTTTTAGGAATGCTACAGAAATTGTTTTGAAATTTAAATGTTTTCAAATGGTATTCAAATAAGTATTCTTTTTTTTCCATCTAGGCCTAAAAAATATAGATTTTCTGAAACTCTTTTAATTAACTAATTTGTATTATTTTCCATAAGGAAATGTAATAAAATGTCTTTTTATAGTATCTTTATCGCCTCAATTTGTGTCTTAAAAAACAATAAATAAATTTTATAACATTTTTCATATATTTTTCGGTAATATCGACAAGGCCCTAATGTTAAGTAGCATATTTTCCTACTCCTAATCTGATGGTTACATCTATTAAAAATATTACCTAATAATGATAAATTTAAATATTAAATTTAATAAAATACTAAACTTATAAAATATTTATTTGAATTATAAGTATGTTCCTATTTATTTTGATAAATATTTGCAGGTCTTGCCCAAGTTATTTTTCTTTACAGTTTTAATGACTTAAAATATAGCACACTAATAATATATTAAGGAAAAATAATAGTAATATAGCTGATAACTGAAAGCTGATTTTTTGGATATTTAAAAATGATTTGGAAAACTTTAATAAAATATAAGTCGATCAATAATGTATTGAAATGCTCTCCTAAAGTACGCTATAAAATATTACTCTATTTCAAATAATGACAAAAATCACAACATTGCTTATTCGCCACCCCAAAACATCATTATTTCAAGGGACTATCAAGCATTTCCCTGGCCTTCCTCCGATTTTCCGCCTGCCTTTGGGTCACCCAAAAAAATCCATGGCATATATCGGCTGTGCGAGAAAGGCAGCGGAGGAACAACAACCAAAAGTGACGCGGACATTTATGGTGTGCTCTAAAACGGATTTTGCTCAGTTTGCAACAGCACCAACACCAACACACTCGGCCACAACACACCCACACCCACCCCGCACAACAACAATCATAATCAGAGAAAATGTTGTTCAATAATTTCGGTTCTGCCGCTGGTTTCATTTCGTTTGGATGAATTTATTTTTAACATTGTTATTTTATATATACACGAAAGCGAAACGAAACGAAAACGAAACAGAAACAGCAGGCGCATAGGAAAAACAAAAAATATATGTCGGAAAAAATGTAGAAAATTAGAAGAAAAAAAAGTACAAGGAAAATAGCGCCAACGCTTTCATCATCGACCAAACGGGCACGATCAGCTGTATGTCGTCAATATGCGATATGTCTTGGGCGGAATCGAAAATATATATCTCATTCTGTGTGTGTGTGTTTGCCCGATGTGTCTTTAATTAAAGTACAATTGTGATATAGACATATGAATATGCGGACATAGAGAAATAGGAGGAAAGATCTGTGTGTGCCCCAATGCCATGCAGCTTCCGCTCGGACCGGACCACGCATGGCCATGGAAAGCGCTTTCCTTACCCAGCACGATCGTCTCATCCACTTGGACTTGGACTCGGACTCGGTGGTTTTTGACAATTCCTATTTATAGAGGCTCTCTCGGAACACTTGTCGCTGTCTGCTCCAAAGACCGCCCCCAAAAAGAACCCTCGCCCCATCATTTGGGATGCTTGATTCGACTTCTTCGGTCGCCTGCCAGCGAGCACTTTATTCAAGTTCAATTCAGTTGGACTTTGGCTTGCACTTGTGCCGGCGACCGAACATTCGCATTTTTATTTCATTTGTAATGTGTATTTTTGGTTCGTCATAGTGCCCACCCTCAACGGCGGCACACATGTGAATCCCCTTTCGATCGCTTTTATGCCTTATATGGCAAGCACTTGGCACCTATTTCTGGTGCTCCTCTAGATGATTCATGCTCAGCCCGATCTGTGGGGTGGGTCTGGCCATCTCTCAATGTGCCCATCACTCAATCAGTGAGGGATCTATAAATGTATATTAGTTTTACGCCCAAGTGGAGGTGGAAGTGGAAGTGCAATGCCCCGGATGCATTTCCCCACACGGATAATTAACTTTCTGGCAGATGACAGCAGAGGGGAGGAGTAGTGTTCTTGAAAAGATATAAGTATAGTTTGATGAGTATTATTTGTTATTTTTTATTTAAAATATTTAAAGATTTTATATTGATTTTCGCGCTGTGTAGTAAGTACTGGCTCCCTCTGTGCGGCTAGTCTTGCTCGGGGGTGTGCATTTTGGCCGCTAGTGGTCGCCATTGAAATGTCAAATGTATATCTGTCAAGTCAAATTACATTTTAATTTATGCAACAATTAATAAACTAGTAAATAATTGTCTGATTTATTTTATTATAATAAATTTTGATAATATTATTAATCTAAATATTTATTCTAAAGTCTTTCCATCATATTGAAGTAGCTAAGCGCCACTTTTTACGACATGTAGAAAGTAATTCCAAAGTATAATTCTCAAAACGGACAAAAAGTGAACTAGCGGTAAAATCCTAAATTCTATATGGCGCCACTGTGCAGAATCTCTATCAGCATCTCCAGACGAATCGATTTAGTTCACTTTACCTCACTCCACAGTAATTGTTTTATTTTAAAAGTGTCTTAGTTTTAAATGCAGATTTTTTACAAAGTTCACAGTTTTTGTGTTAGCACATATAAATTTTTAAGAAATTATTTTAAAAATAATCCGATCCCATAAAAATCCCGAAAGAATTTAATTAGTTTCGACAATAAGTTGTGATCCTAGTAAATTTTCTTAAATAAAATTGTATGAACTTTTCTCAATTGACATAATTATTTCGTAAATTAATAATTTTTGTATAGTAACCAGTGTTTTCTAGTAAGCTTCTAAATTCAATACCTTTTAAGTGCGATTTGTATTAATACCCAAGGGTTTTATTTCATCGACTTACCTCTAATAAAAATCTTAACTACTAATTGTATCCCCCTTAACTATTTCAAATCTGTTTAAAAACCTTTTTATTTTTATTAAATGACCTGGCTGATTGTTGCTTTGAATTTAGCAGGAGTAACCTCGTATCGCTGGCCCTGCGGGGTCGCAATTGTCATTAAACTGACCCCTAAACGCTCGCCCGCCACTAAGTGACCAGCATTTCCATTTCCCTCGACAATTTCACTGTAAACGCAGAGTTTTCTTTCCCATGTTGGTCGCTTCGCATGCATTTGGGTGAGATTTTTCCGGCTAGATGTTGTGCGTGTGATAAGCGCCCTGATGTAATTGCGGCAATTATCATTGCGCCCGAGTCCTTCGAGCAAATTGTAACGCTCATGTGGGATATGCTTTCATGTCGGTACATGTACGTATTTTAGTGAAAGGACTCCCTGTCGGGGGCAACATGCTTGCATTTTAATTGCCCGCGGCGTTAATCAATTATAATTTTATTCGTTACTTTATTAGATTCAACTGCGGCTACTGCACCTGTTTTTCACCCCATCTCCGTGCGGGTCCTTCCTTTGTTTGCAGTGTATTTAGTCCTTTTTAATTGCATTTAATTACTGCTTGTCAGCGTTTTTTGCTCAATGTCTACCGATTTTCTTATTAATCAAGTCATTAAGCACCCGATCAATGGGGCTGATAAGCTCTCATAATTGGCCCGACAAGTTGGGTTATTGATGGGCTGCCTTTCCCCCCTAAAATATTTCTCTTTGATTAGCTCCCCTGCTAATTGAACAGGTCTCTTGGGATTAAGTCAAGTCTTGGGAAAATAACATATGATTTTGAGGTGTATTTTATTCATAGGAATGTGTGAAATTATAAAGCAGCGCAGTTGTTACCATCTATAAATTCTGGGTCTCACTAAGACTTTTACTGTTATTTAAATGTTTAATATTATAATATTATATTTATTATAGAATTTATTATATTAACTACAATAAATTTCCTTTATGTCCTAATTATTTACAGAACCATCTTACCTCTTTATGAACTCCCCTTATTATTATGCCTCCTCTCCCAGTAAATCACAACACAATTGAGCTAAAACTTGTCATATTTATTTTGTGCTAATATGCTTTAGGAATAGGTTTATTCTTCAGCCGTTTTGTCTTTGAAGTAATTGAAATTTTACAAATACACTTTTTGCACATGAGTTGAGTTAACGACACAAGAAACTGGCTCCGAAATAAACTCTTACAACACGAAATTCACTAAACTTAGAACACACCTAGAAGATGATATTGGGGGAATGATTTTGATTGGAGCTGAACTCAGGACTCGAGAATTGCCAGCGTTTAAGGCTAGACCATGGAGACGAGGCCCTTGTTGAGGTTGTCCAGGTGCTCCTTGGCCTTGATCCGCAGCGTGGCGATCGAGTTGCTCCGCATGTCCGCCGGCGGCGTCGCGGAAAGCTTGGGCGTGGGCGGCGGCGGTGGGCTGTCCCGACCCACATCCAGCAGCTCGATATTGGCGCTGGCAGCACACTTGTCCAGGCCGCTGCCCGGATTGCTGCTACTGCTTCCGGCATCCAGGTCACTGCTAAGGTCCCGCCCCTCCAAATTCGAGTCCGCATTGCCGATGCTCAGGTTTTGCGGCGACATGCATACGTCCGGACCGCTGCACTCCAGCGAGGCGGAGGAGGAGGACGACTGCGAGGACGACACTGCAGCAGCAGCGGCGGCAGCGGTCGTAGACGTTGAGCTTGGTGGCAGGGTGCTGTGGTGGGGCGTGCTCAGGGGGGCTCACTCCGTGGGGCGTTGCATGCGGCGACATGCGTGCCAGATGCGGCGACAGGTGCGACAGCGGCACCACGTGGTGGCCGGCATGCGGATGGGGCACTCCGTGGGGTGGGGGTGGTGGCGGCGGCGGCTGCGGCTGACCATGCCCCCCATGGCCGCCGTGTGGGGGCGGCGGTGGACCATTGTGGGCATGATGGTGACCCATGGCCGCCAGGCTGCTCATGGTTAGGTTGGCGGGCGCCAGGCTCAGCGGTGGCGTCAGATAGCTGGGGTACACCGTCTGCGGGTGCGAGAGGAAGCCTGAGGGTGAGAAGAAGGAGTTGCAGGGATTAGTTAAGGTGCATGATAAGAATTTAAAATAAAATCACAGAAGTCGGTGTGCAGATATTTCTAACGACTTATTTTATATTTCTTAATGAATTGAATAACAAAGATTGATATAAATGACCTTTGTTAAGCTATAATAGTATCCTTCAGTAGAGAAAAAATATCAATATAATCAGGTTTCCTTAATATATTTTTAACACAATGATAACTTAAGTCTGATTGAGTTCTAGATTCTCCGATTTTCAGATGACTACCAAATCCAATAACTATTAACCACCAGTTTAATATTACAAGCTAAAGCACACTCAGGTTCTTAAATATTCTAGGATATATTCAAAGACAATTTCTCTCACCTGGCAAAGCGCTTAGCAGAGGTGGCGACAGCCAAGGATCCACCGGCAGACCGGATGCACCGCAACCCAGACGATGTGGCAGCTGGGTAAAATGGGTCAGCCCCAGACGCAGGCTCTCCGACTTCTCCTGGCGACGCCACTTGGCGCGGCGATTCTGGAACCACACCTGAAAAAACGAAAAACGAACAAGTAAGAGTTAGAGCGGTGTCTGGGCTAATTGGGTTGCAGGGCAATTAAATTAATCACTTGACAAGAAACGCGCTAATTTAATCAGGCACTAAGCGTCAGCAGGGAGCTGGAAAAACATTTCCAAGAAAGGCACAAAGCGTAATTAGAAAACTGAATGGGCTTAATGACGCCAGCAGAAGCTGTGCGGCGCCAAAGAGAAAGCACGAGAGGAGAGCCCCAAAAGAGAGCGGCACAAGACAAAAAGCAAAATGGCGGCCAACGCAAAATTGTTAATGAAAACTCCGACTCACACAAACACACACACACAGACAGCAGAGATACCCACACACACACATACAGGCAGGCAAACAAAATGGCTGAGCAGCTCACACAGACACAGGACAGGCAGAGCGCAAGGTAACGAAGGAAATAAAATAAAATTCAATTAGTTGCCTTGGCTCTAATTAGAATTATCGCAACAATGAGTGTGTATGAGTGTGGCTGTCTAATTAGTGGCAGAGCCAGAGCTAGTCCGGGGGGGGGGGTGTGGAGCCGACTAGGGAAAGTTTCCATTGCCCTAGGGTTGGCCATTACCACCCCATCAGTCACCCATCCTATTCCTTGCTCCCCCCAGCTGTGCCTGCGCCACGCTCAAAGTAATTAAATGCAATTTGCGCAAATTAATAAGAAATTATTTCTGATGGAAATTTCATTACCCTGAAATAATGTTGTTGTTGGTTGCTGCTCCTGCCGCAAGTACATAAATAACCAAGCTAGTGTGTGTGTGTGCGTGAGCCTGCGCGTGTTTGTGTATGCGTGTGCTCTGGTTTCGGTCTCTCTGCGGCTCTTTAATTAAAGATAATGGTGCGTAAAATTATTTTCGTTGCCCCGAAAGTGATTTGCAAAACAAATTTGCCAGTCGGAAAATGCTATTTGAAATGGGTTAATTAAAAATAGCCTCGGCAAAGAAATAGGAACGTTGAACTTTTAGGAAAATTACTGTATTTGGAAAGATTTTAAATAAAATAACTCAGTATAAAACAATATTTTATTTCTGCGCCACAATAATCGTGGCGTGAAAAATATATTTTTTTTATTTAAAAAAGAAAATTTATATTAGCTCTTGCCTTTATTCTTGTTATACCTTATTATTCTTTATTTTAGGCATCTTTAAATATGATCGGACATAAGTACGTATTTTGGAAAAAGTGTATAGAAATGAATTAAAACATTTTTAAGCTATTTTTGTAATATGCTTAATCGTAGACTCAAGAGAAAGATTTTTCAAAATAACTACAATTTACTGTTTAACGAAATGGTAATCGATTTTATTTTGTAATCGAGAAAGAGTTACTTAAAACTGGTATACATAACATTTAATTAAATTAACAATTTAAAAATCAGTATGTAATAATAATTATCTAAACGTTTTTAATAAAAATAATTGATAGCTAAGATTAAAGCATATATTTCTTATAGAAATAAAATATTATTATATATTACATTCTACTATGTGTTAATATTAAGAGCCATTTATACATTTATCCATTTGCTTGTATACATGATTCAATAGATATTTTGGTTTGATTGCCAAAAATCGTTTATTTAAAATTTTGAATTCCTCAACTCCTCTATTAGGATGTTATATAATTTAAACCTATAGAAAGCTCATTTCAAGCCCAACTAGAGCCAATCAAATCCGTTCCAATTAGAGATTTTCCTTGATTATCTTCGACTATCTGTCGGATACCAATTAGTAGAGTAGACAGACAATAATAATAAAATGGCTAAAATGGCTTCCCTTCCCTTCCGCTGGCTTCGGGTTCCCTTGCTCCATCAGGCTGGAATCCCATTTAGAAAGTCTAATTTCCTGTCTCTCAAATCTGTACGAAGAAAATAAATTAAAGTTAGCAGCTTTAGGCCACATTCGACTCTTCATTATGGCACACACACACACACATCCACCCACCCTTCCAGTTGACTGGCAGAATGAGATAGCTACAGGCAGAGAGAAGAAGAGAAAAGGAGACGGAGTTTGCTGGCTGTTATAATTTGAGTTTGTGCTTCTTCATTTTAATTAAATCATCAAAATCAATTTGGTAATTTCCATTCATGGCGCGCCATAATGAAAATCCCCCACTTGGGGCAGTAGAGAAAAAGAGAGAGAAAATTGGAAAGAGACGGGCACTGGTGAAAGCTTTCTCTCTCGTGCAGCTGGCGGGTGGCACGCCCACAAACATCATTATGACCTTCGACCCTCCTCTCCCCACACCACTCTCATTCACCCGAAAGTTGGCAAAATTGTCTGCTTTCATCTTTGGCTGTTGATGCCGGCAACCGAACCCCAGTCCCGCCCCCATTCGCCATGACATGGACCAAACTCAATTTTCCACCCCGTAGACACAAATACAAACAGACACACACACACATCTCCCCATTTTCAGCCATTTTCAATTTTGCTACATTTAGCCGGCTCTGGCCTCAAACCACCCACCATTTCAGCCCATTCCAACCACTCAATCGCCCAGCCACCCCGGCCACCCCCTATCGAGCAGGCCTGCAGCAATTTGGCATTCATGTGGAGCACGCGACTCACCACAAGAACACACCCCCCATCTACAGCCCCAGTGCCCCATCAGGCAACCACTTTTCAACTTTAATCTTTTTCATAAACTTCACATTGGCAGCAAACAATTTGCGACCCCCCGCACCAGCACCACCACGATGATGATGATCAACCCACAACACAACCCCCCGAGGAAACCCTCTTTAACATCATCATCTCGCTCTTCCTCTGGCTGTGTCATTCTACCATTTTCCTTGTCGTCTTCTTTAATTTTGTTCGCAGCAAAGTTTTGCCGTTTTATTGGAAAACTTCTGCCGCAAAGTGTCGTTCCACCCAAAAAAAAAACGAGGAAAGAATGGCTCCACATAGAAGTAGAAGTAACTCACACAGCATACAAGGCGTATACGCAATGTGCTCTCTCTCTCTCTTTCTCCGCTTCTCTTTCGGCTAGAAGCGACCCTCTCTTTCACTCGCTGTGTGGCAGAAATTGCTTTTCGAATGTTTCTGACAGTTTGCAAATTGGAAAATTGACTTTTAACACACAAGAGCTTCAGCAGCTTAATAAAACTGTTTGCAACTTGTAGAGGGGCGGTGGCGGTGGGTGTGGGCGTGGGAGGTGGTTGGTTAGGCGGGCTTGTTGGATTGTTGCAATTCGACTTAATATTACACAGAGGTTGGTTTATTCATACTTCCGATTTTTGAAAAGTTGTTAGGCTCTGCGGTGGGACAAATGGATTCCAAGACTTCCGACTGATCACACATGCGAAATTGATAGTATTTTAATTTATATGTTTTGTAAATATTTATAAATTTACCCATAGTCTCTAAGTTGCAGAGGTCTGTGTAAAAAATGATGGCAATTATATCTTTTATCTAGTGACGGAAAATATCGATATGTTTAAAGTCGATTTATAAATCGGTTTTTTAAGTTTGCGATGTGCAAAACAAATCGATTATTTATTTGATTAATGGGAATAAGTTAACTGGCTCATTGTAGGAAACAAAAATATGCAGATAATTAATGGATTAATTGGTAAAAAGATAAGTAAATAAATAAAATTAATATTATAATATAATATCGATATCCTCGATACTTTTGTCATTTCTGTTTCAATCTCGATACATATCGAAGGAAAAAGTTACAATTTCAGATTCAACAACGTTATCCTTACGTTATCTCTCCCATCGGGAGGTCACCTGAAATCAGCTCGAGCGATCTGCTTACTATTCGCTACTGTACCTCGGCATAATCATTCTCCCAGCGACAGGACTATAATTATCCCTGTGCCGCCTGTTTGTCATGCGATTCAATCAAATTGATTGAAATGCCGATGCCATCGAATGCACTTTGTTTGAGCTGGTTTTCACTGGCGATAGGCGATGTAATTGCATGGAAAGCAAAAATATTGCCCAGCAAGTCCTGCAATTAGAGGCCCCGAGGCCCTAGGGGCGAGACTCGAAAGGTTAGGGGCAGGACAACCCGTTGCGTTCAAGGATATTGATAGCGGCGCCTAAGGTAATAAAGCAAATGCATATGCCGTGCATGGGAACGACGCGCCGCTCCTCGCGCAAGCTTTAATTCAATTAAAAAATTCCTCAAAATCCCAGTTAGGGGAGCCTAATTATATGGCTGTTCCCCGGCTTCCAGACAGCGACAGACACGGAGCATTCAGTTTCGGGCTCAATTCAATCCAAAGGCTGTCATAAATCCAGCCCGACCTGGGATGGACAATGCCGCAGCATGGAGTCCTTTGCCCTGTTAGTTTATGACATGTTTTTTATTCCATTGTTGGCTTTTAGTTCCGGCCCAAGGACGAGAGAGAGAGAGAGAGAGGGAGTTCTACCTAAGCCAGAGTCTCGGGCATCCTGTTTGGGTCGCTTTGTGCGATTCAGGACAAATTAGAGCGAAGACAAAAGCTTTGACGACGGCCACAATCCGCAAGATGTTTTAATTAGTTTAAGAGCCGACAAGCGTATTGATTTACACTCGATGCCGCCGCCGCTTGGTCCTTCGAAGAGATTGTCAGGCGATGAGAGGGAGGAGTGAAGATTTTTTAAATTTCAAGGGTAATTCTTTCTAAAATATCTCAGATATTAAATAAAGATGTTATCAATAAATCTGATAATTTAATATTAAAGAACCATCTATTATCTGGGAAATCAAAATGAAACTCCGCCTCAAAGGTCTTTTAATAATAATCCTGGAGATGTTGTCCTTTACAGCTTGTAGCCAGCTTTCGCCCTCTAAGATCTGCCTTGTTAGGTCATCTACCTCCCCTTGCCCACTGCCGCTAATTACAGTTTTAGTTTTCCACCGAGAGTCCTGTAATCGAAGGCCAAACACGCGACAAATCTTGATTCTGTGACAGCCGCAGACCTGGCAGTCTAACTCCGCCTCAAATGTCACTGTGAGAAAAGTCGGAAAGGCGCTC